ATGATTTATTTCCAAAATAGAATATAACATCAAATATCAGCTTCAAAACGTTACAGAGGAAGAGCAAGTTTGCAAACTGGCAAGTAGCATTATCTAAAATCTAAGTGAAATAGTTAACAATAAATAAACCCATCAAGTGGAAATTAACAAAAAAGGAAAAAAATTATTAACTTCTTCTTAAATGAACATTCAAAACTGTGTTTCCAAGGACATATTAGTATTTAGCATTAGAGCAGAGTTCACTCCAGTTTGCTCAATGGGTTGGTCTGTGGGGTAACTCTTCAAGCACGCGAGCTTTCAAGTTATTTTTTAAACCAATATCGACGGTGAGCTGTAAACAATGATTTGAACTGGAATAAATGAAAAACATCACTTACTCTCTCGGTACTTGTTATTCCACCGTTGATCCATGCGAATGCAATAGGCTTCTGCAGTCTTACACTGTAGGAGCCGGAGGTAATTTGTCCAATTCTCTGAACGATAGGTTTATTTTGGTTCGTTTATTTCATTTTACTTCTTCTTGTCCTTCTCTTCTGATGACTTCATTACCGAAAGGTAAATTTTTCCATTCGAGAGGAATTTCAGAGTTTTCAGCGGGATCAAAAGTTAGAAGAACTAGTTTTCTTTCGAAAGTTTGATCTTTCAATTTCTCGGCAGCGCTTTTTCCAATAAAATCGGGCTTAGAAAGATCGACCAATCCTAGAAAGAAATAAAAAAAAGTTGTTATTGCTAACCATATATTACCTCCCAATCCACATTCATAAGGATTGGTGTCAAGAGTGAGTTCACGTCCCCAAATCTTATAACCGTGCTCTAATCTCATCATGTTCATGGTAGCTTGACCAAAGTTGGCAACACCATATTGTTTTCCTTCTCTCATTATTGCCTAAAATAGTTCATATTCAGAGGGAATACACCCTTCCCGCACCTCATAAAGTTTGAAAGAGTCAGCTCTGTTATGGAAAAGTTCGTAACTGAGTTGTCCAGTGGAAGTAGAGCTACGAGCACAGACTGTGGCGACGGCACCTAAACGTAGGAGCCTTGTGGATCTCTGAGGGAAACCCTCGTCTGAGACATCAGACTTAGTTAGCCCGGAAAGTAGCTGTAAAACATTGTGTTATTTTCTAACTTTGATAGTTTTCAACTTGACGACTGTTTGGTCCTACGAGAGCGAGAGAAGCCAAATATTCAGAGACGCAATTGACTTGTACATTGAAGTCTTTTTCAGCAGCTGCTTTTCTGAGCCTAACGGTGAGAAATTTTAGCAATGATATGATACAAACGTATAAAATACCAGAAGAGATCACGACTCTCTCTTTCAGGTTCTGTGAGTAAAATGAAAGCAGAACGAGCATTGTCATGATGGAAAATTTTCAGAGGTGAGAGAAGACGTCCTTCTCTTGTCAGCATCAGTCCTGATCCGATTTTTCTAAGAGGTGGAACCTACGATTATAATTCATTACACTACTTCCACACTAAACTAACAGGTCCGGCAATAGCATATTCCATTAGAGCTTCAGCGTCTTTGCCTTTTACTTCTATCTTTCCTTTCCATGACAAATCTATCACACCACATCTTGAATAAAAAGAAAGCATTGAAAACATGAGAAGTTTGTCACCTATTTGTAACTCTTTCGTATTCTCTGGAAAGAGTAGACAAGAGCCCTTCATCATCGACACCAAAAACTTGGGCAACTTCCCACCCATTACGGAACGAGAAAGAAGCTTTTTCGTTTCTCAGTCTTCCATAGACTCCACTAACGCGACTGGTTGGACGACCACCAGCTCTATCGGTGTATGACCAGTTATAGTACATCGAGTAAGTTTCTCTGCTCTTCTTAGTTATGTAACTGGAAGATGGCAATACCATAAAATAAAGAATGAATTGGTTTTACTCTCGTTCAGCCCATCTGTCGTAACGACTAGCATCTGTATCGAAGAGCTCTTGAGGCGGTTCTCCGTCGATCATCCAATCTGCTAAATATTTTCCGATTCCACCTCCACTGCTGACTCCATCAAGGAATCCAGTCGACACCCAATAGTTCTTATCGTATGGTCCAACCTGAAAAATTGTTTTAACAATTTCTTTTCAGAACAAGACTTACTAATGGATATCCATCGGGAGTCATATTGAAAACAGCTGCCTTAGCATCAACTTGCGCATTCCTGAGATCAGGAATAAGTTCGCAAGCTCTCTGATGAGCAAGATCCAATCTAGAGAAGTCTGCAGTGACACCGCGAGACCCAACTAAAATGTGCAAAAACTCATGAAATCAATTGCATTCGCTACATACCGTTCGGAACTCCATTTTTATACCAGTCCTCACGGAAAACAACCTTCTCAGTAGGTTCAAAACCTCCGAAGATGTAACTGTCACCACTTTTGCGCACATAGAACGTACTGTCGTGATCAATAATAGCAGGACCATCGGCAGGGGCCTTGTTTGGCTGTAAACAATGTACGTTTTCCTTGTTGCAGCGAAAAAAACTACTTTAATTATAGCATATTGATGCTCAACAATCACAACAGGCAATTGGTGGCCAGAAAGCTTAGCAATATCATTCGCCCAGATTCCGCCAGCATTCACCAAATTACGTGTTGTTACGAGGGTTCCATCTTCGAGCCCCACTAGCCATTCTCCTTTGTCCTAAAAAACTTATTGAAATCTGTTGAAGAAACTGAATACTCACTTTGTCATAACGAATCATAGTAGGGACAGCTCCATCTTGGACATCTCCTCCAGAATCACGTACACCTCTAATCAAAGACTTGGTAAGTCCTTGAGCAGAGATAGTTCCATCGTTTGTAGTGTAGAGAGCTCCGAGAACCTTTAAAATGTGTTCTCAGAACTTAAACGTCTCAGGTACTCACTTTAGAAATATCCAACTCAGGAGCGATCTTTGCAACTTCATCAGGAGTCAACAAGGAAGTCTTACAAACATCACCTTCCTATCAATAAGCTATTTAGAAAACATTATGGAGTTCTGACATACTTTATAATAATCTCGAGCAACGTAACGCTTGAACTCTTGAAGGCGTGTCTCATTGGTAGCCAATCTAATAGTGCCTCCTTGATTGAAATTAACTTTCTGCAATGGATAACAGTTTCATCGAAAGTAATAAGGAAACGCGTACTTCTTCACTCTCTCTAGCTAGCTTCTCATATAATTCAATGGAGTAAGCGAGAATGGGCTTGTAACGATGGGCTGGATGACTAGCAGTAACCAATCCAGGAGAATGGAATGATGTTCCTTCAGGTGATGCACCGGCTGTGAAAAACAAAGAAGTGAGATAAGATGATTACACTTACAAGTTCGATCTAAGAGCAGCACATCTTTCATGTTCCGCTGAGTCAAATGGTAAGCAACTGAACTTCCAGCTACTCCAGAACCCAGAACACAAGCAAATACATGCTTTGTCGAAGCTGATCTGCAACCGCAACAGGTAATGATATAGATGACAATTATGAACTCGCCTAACACTCTCCAACACAGCTTTAGAGGGACGAAGACCCCTTGTGCGCAGCATTTTCAATTATCCCGTCCTCTGAAAATTTGTGTGTATGAGCAAGCTTAAGAATGACGGTCAAGGTAAAAGCTGAGCGAGATAGGAACTGAATTTTTATTTCTGTGATACAATGGCAACTGATCGATAAAAGCAGCGTCGCTTAGTAAAGATCAAGCCGTGACAAGGTCAAATATGTCAAAAACGCTGGAAGAGAAACTTTTGGTTTTTTGTCTCAAAACACAAGAACGGAAAAGCAGACCACAACATTTCAGTTAGTAAAAGCTGTAACAATAAATGAAAAAAGGCAAGCAAATAATAGAATCACATGATTCTTTGCACTCCGAGCAAGTAAGAAGCAGACTCTTGGAAGTATTATTGGGGATGGACACACCTCTGTTCACGACAAGAAGGACAAACAACTTTGTTAATTTCTCTTCAAATGTAACAATGAAATCACAACAGATCACCAGCAATTAAACAATTTAAAGTTCAAGAAATAATAAATAGTCTTAGTGATCGATTTCCTTATAAGTTAACAGCAGCTTGTAACTTCAATAGCTGGGATGATATGTGCTGTGGGAACTTGAAGTTTATCGTCGCCGCATACAATACGATTGCTTTCACCTAAACAAACAAAACTCCAAAACAAGTTACAAACAACAAACAAAACCTGTTTCAAATATTTTGGATTATGCTTCTCATGCAGAGCGTTGACCATGCATTTCATCATTGCCAAACAATAGTCGGGAATAACCTCTCGTACCTAAACGCATTTCGAATATCATATCTCTCAATTTATGTTGTCTTACTCGTTGTGGGACTAGGTGGAACTCATCTCCGGCAACAGCAACACCGCCAGCTTCAACAGGTAGTAGTCTCAATTCTTGGGACCATCTAAACAAGATACTCTTCCTTATCGCGCTATCTTATCACGCGAAACTTACCTAAAAGCTTCTTCGGTCTTGTTTGTGGCACAAGCTTCGAAAATTTTTATGAGATCAACTAAAATGGCGAGTTCTGAGTAATCACTAGCCTGGGCCCGTCCGAGCACTGAAACACATAACAGATTCACAGACACATACATTATCCTTACAAGGCCAATATTCTACTGCTACCTCCTTGAGGTTTTGCAGGTCATTCCTTTCACATCTTAGAGCAGTACTGATTTCAGAAGATAGTAAGTTTACGGCTCTTCCTGGACAACTAGCTAATAAATACAACCGTAAGGCTTCTAATGTGCTTCCGCTAGTTTCTGTGTCGAAGGCGATGCTTTCTATGATGGGAGAGGCATCCTCCACATATCTGAAACAACCGTAATGAGATGAATGATATCTGAACTTACTCGTCTATTAAACCACGACATCTCTTTCCGGATTTATCGAAGTTGCCAACAATACTATCGATCTCATCTCTACTGTTGCAAAGATAGACCGATCTGCTGACGGATTTCTCGAAAACATCGGCACCACTAGGAGTTTTGAATCCCTACAGTGTGCTCGAATATAAACACAGTAATTGTATAGTTCATACTTTAACCATGAAGAAGTAATCCATTGCTCTTGTAGGATCTGTTAGTTCGAATTCTTTGGTGTAAGTGACAACAAGACGTGGGATGTTCAAAAAGCATACAGTTGGTTGAGCGGGATCAGATACGACTGCATTTGCAATTAATTGGGAAGAGTACAAAGCAACAAACCAAGTGGAGCAGAAGAATCCGCACAACATCTGATATATCCGAACTCATTTCCGAGAATAGCCAAGTGAACTGCTTCGAGTATCATATTGTTATTGGTTAGAAGCTGTAGAAAAACATTTCTTCATCCACATATCATGGTATGCATACCTGAATAGCTTTTTCGAACTGAGAACTCAACCATAAAACAGTGAAATAATAGTGAAATTCTCCACTTCGCATGAAGTAATCCTCTCCTGCAATAGACATGAGAGCTCATTAATTATGCTTTGTCGTGTACCATAATCAACGGAGATGGTTTTCTGTACTTCGACAAATAAGGTAGTGGTCATATGAGGATCGATATGAAGAGGGATCAATTGGAACCATAACCAATTCTCCAAAGAATCAGCAAGTGGCGATTCTATAAAAAACCAAAACACTATCACGCAATATTGTTTTGAAGCACCTGTGCCTAATATGGCTGCATATAATGCTCGTTTGTATTTATCTCTGATGTTATTCATGTTATGTCGCCATTCAACTTTAACTTTTTTTTTAAGTTCACTATCCAATCTGTTGCCAGAAATAAGTTAGTACAACTCTGTGAAAGTAAACATACTTATTGTACTTATCCAGGTGATGCAGAGATTGAACTAAGCAAGCAGACTGAGGACAGTTGTTCAGTTGATTCAAGGCATCCGAAGCAGCTGAAAGTTCTCCAGCTCGGAAACAATGGTACGTGACCTGAACAAAATTCTTTAATCTGTGAAACTCTAACAGTTCACACCTCCCAAACAGGCAATCCATTAATAACACCATCTTCGGCATTAGGATCATCAGCAGCAATCTTAACTACCACAATGGAAAACACTGCTAACAAGAAAAAAAACCTTGAGAAAAGCTTCAACTAATCCTTTTGTTCCGGGAATTCCTCCACGCTGAGCTAATTCGAGATTCCTTTCGACCTTGTCGGTCATGTGTTGAATATATCTGAAACGTTCCAAACTAAGTGCAACAACAACATGTTCTTACTGTTTGTGTAAGAAGTGGCAAGCATTTTCCACAAAGAAACGAGAAGTTGAATTCTCATCTCTGTTATCCGAAAGCTAAAGTACAAAATGAAAACATCGCTTATTGTTTGTTTACTTTTTTAGTCATCATTGCTGCAGCCTCATGCCAAATATCAACAAGAATGGTGTCGGTAGCAGGATCATCATTGACGGAACATAAAAGTTCTGAGATATCTTTCTGAAGCAAAATTTTTGAAATTCAATGAATAAAACATATTTGATATACTCTCTTTCCACTTCTGATGTATTTGCGAATTTTGTCACCAAATAACAACTCTCTTCTAGATGAAGAAGTAGAGTTGGGCATACGGAAATCATTTCCTAGTGTTTGCTGAAAATTAAAACATTTTTATCTTCAAACTGCATGACACTTACATTAGGCTTTTGTAAATTGGATGTTGCGGATAAGGTTGTCTGTGGTTTTGACAATAAAACGTGATTGAAGAAAGCTCTCTCAGCTTCTACACGCACTCGTTGAACATCAGCTTGTACCTGAAAAGGATATGCAATGAGATGGCACACGAATTATTAGAGCTTACATCCTCATCTTCCTCCTCAACTGCTCTTTCACAAAAAGTGCTGCTGAGCTCAGGAGCTGTGACTCCAAACACTACGCCTTTATCTCCAAAAAGAAAATCCTTCTGCAAAAACGAAAATCACAACTCGAATTCGAAACACGGAAACTTTGGTGGAATTAGAGTTCGCTTTACTCCATAAGTTCTCACTGGCTCGGAAAATACTGGCAAGATCTACGTCTGATGATGTTCCAGTGAATAGAGGAACCTTAAAAGAAACGCAAATCACTGAACATGAAGTTAAACCAACATTCTTCTTGGCTGTGTGTTGTCGTCCATCAGAAGCATTAACGACAGCATGATTAATATCTTCTTGATAATTCACTGAAGAAAGTTTCTCTGCGCGTCCGAGAATTTCATTTAAAAATGCTGACATATTCTGGAATACAATGAAGCATGTAAAACAAACAAATCATAAGTAAACTAACAAGGAATTTAAATATTTTAAGAAGGAAAAGTTTTGAATTTCAAATGCTAGACTGTGCTCCACTGTCAATTTCGCATTGGGGCAGGCGAATCCAGGCAGTTTTAGTGAAAGCTACTAACGAAGGGTTATTGTTAAAGCTTGTAAATCTTGGAGCTTGCTCGAACCATTGAGAGAATGAGCATATGGCTGCAGAGGATATCGTTTTCTATTGAGAGTTGCTCAAAGTACACAATTGATGTAGTTGCTCATTTAGTTTTGTCCAGCTCTCATTGCACACTGAAAATCAAGCAGAAATTACTAGTAAAGTAGTTGAAACAGGGTATTGGAGGTGAACCAGAAAGTTCCAACCGTTTATCACGCGTCTTCGTGTGAGAATGATACTCACGTGGGCATCGGACGGTATCCTATGCTAATTATCACGGGGAACATACTCAAAACTAGGTTATAAGCCCATCTTTTAGAAGTATATCAGTTAAATCATATCAAAATATTTATTTTATCATATCATCTGATTCGACGTTGAGTGTTTTTCATTAATAGACACTGATTGATTTGAATTTGAAATGTTCCTTTATCATTGCCATGGTGCGAGTGTTCAAATCTGCAACTTTGAGAATCTTTGCTCTTGTACCCTATTGTAAAAAGATACAATATAGGAGTAAAATCATCAACCTTTGTTATAAATTATATGACTCTGCCTTTTATCACGATAAGTGTTTTATCACCTTTAGTGACACTCAGTCAAATCTGAAATCGGTAACATTCAGAAAGTTCATTTTCAGCCGTTTCGTAGCACTCGTTGACCTTCTTCAATTTATTCATTCTTAATTTATATTTCATTTTAGCTTAAAATGAATCGTGCTTTGTTATTTGTCTGTCTTTTGGGACTGGTGCTTCCCACTGTTCAGAAAGGTTTGGAATGTGCTGTCTGTATTGACTTCGTCAGTGGAATTGACAAGAAGGAGATTAAAGAAGATGCTAACCTTAAAGATGTATAACTTTAACTCTCTTGTTTCAATTGTATCAATCCCATCTTCAGAAACTCGACAAGGATTGCAGAAACATGTTGGACATGCCAATGATTGAAACGTATTGTGAAAAGCTTGTGAACGAGGAATATGAAACCATTTTGAAGAAAATAGAGAATGATGAAAAACCAGCCACGATATGTAAAGACATAGATATGTGTTAAAGCATCCAGCGGTATCCTCATCGACTGGCGTATCCATAACATTGCTGTTGGTTACTGTACTCTTCCCTTTTTCCTTAAATTCGTTTCATGCTCGTTATACTTGGTTCTCTTCCACTAATCTTTTCAGCTTGAATGAAATCAATGGCCATCACCTCTTACACCAATAACATCATAAAAAACTTTGAGCTGATTAACTTCTTTTTTTTTCGATTGATTAATGGTACTGGAGAGAAAAGATAAAATTTTGCGGTTTATTTGTTAATTGAAACTACGAACTGAGTATAATTTCATTAGAATGTATAATACAATTTGTAAATATAACAATTCAGAATCACAGTACCCACGGAGTAAAGAAGAATCTTAGAAGTAAAAACAGAACCTAAAGTGCCGACTAGAGATCTAAATCTGTTAGAATGATTGGTAGCGCAAGGAATTTATAGTTAGAACTTGATCATTTATTTTACAATGTGTTGAGTTGAGCGGTTAGGTGGATGTACAATTACCAGAAGGCACACAGCATACTTGTTGAGTAGTCGAGAGCGAGATCTGGAAAGTAAACCCATTGTTGTCGATAAGCAAACGCATGCTTACTTGCTCTCTGTGATTAAAATACAATAGAGAAACTACAACGTCAAACTGCATATTCACATACAATGATGTGAGTCGTGAGAAAGGAGCATGGCAATACTCTCTGAAAGTGTACCCGATAAGATGAACAGTAACATGATGAAACAGTTTTGATATATGAATGTACATATCAAAGATCACAGCGGAAGGCAACAGTCTGGTTGAAATCATTGAAACTTACGCAACGACACCCGTTAGCGTCACAGAATTATTGAAGAATAACTGATTGTTTTTCTGGCTCAAAGGAGCTATAGCAACAGTACTGTCATTCGCACCGGTTCCAATAAGATCGTTGTTCCAAGGTTGGAACTTCGATATAACCTTAATCATCCATTAGTTTAATTTCTATATCCATGACTCACTTGAGCAGTCAAATTCACGACTTGAACAACGTAGTAATTCGAGTTAGATATATTTACATGATTCTGTAATCGAAAAGATTGTAAAAACAGTGGGAGAATGAATCATACCATAAAATGGAACTGAATTTTCGGATCAGAAGCATTATGAAAGACCACATGAATGATATCGACGGGTTGTCTTGAACCAGACAACTCTACTGCGCGAGGAACTAACATGAATATAGCAGCGGAAGCTAGTAGTACACATATCTGAAAGTATCGAACTGTTTAAATGCTCTAACTTCAAACGGCTTACTCCAATACCGATGAGCACCCAAAACCAAGTCCTTTTAGGCTTCAAACGGTCATCATTCAGTGGAATTAGGGCAACAAGGGTTTCTTCCATTTCTTGAATAAATAATTGTGACTGAGGAAAAAATATAAATTGAAAACCTTTAGGGATTCTTCCTGTGCCTTTACACGAAGGACAGGGAACACTACCACCCATCAATTCTGTATAATCCGTACTAACACTCCTGGAATAAACGAACAAAGTTGAAAGAAATATTTTGGTGAATTACCTAGAACTCCCTTCTTGACTAGCAGCATCATTCACTTCGAATAGTCTTTCATGGTTTCCGAAAAGGACCATCGCTTTTCTTCTGAGATAGGCTCGGAAATCATCCAACATCATTCTTAAGTCATCCGTAACTATCGCACCTGTAAAGATTTATGGCATCAGTATCTTTATACATAAAATCGCATAATATATGAAGAAAGTAACGAATACTAGTTAAACTCGAAAACCGTAGGAGACATTAAGAGATGATCAGATAGCAATGCGGAGACCAGAAGAGCAGCCCATATACAAACAAAATAATATAATAAATATAAATAGAACATATAAAATTATGAAAGTTATAAAGCCGGCTGAGTTAAATTAGTTTTAATATCTTTGTTATGCTCCTCCAACGAAGCTTGAGCGTAGTAACGCACGAAATCTCCTATTGTAACAAAGTATAGACCACCATTTTCAAAACCCCATCCCTGAAGAGCTGTGTTAGATGCGAACACAGTCGAAATCGTACCTGCTCGTTTTGTTCTATTAAGCAATGTGAGATTCGCTCCCCGTTAAGAACACTCAGTACCAATTTTCCGTGCTTAGTTGCAGAAGGCCTTATAAGGAATATTCCTTCGGTTTTCTTCCGCTCAGCTAACGATTTTGTTCTAGCGAGCATAATCAAACTACCAGTAGCTTCTTTGGAAGCATCATTTATAAGGTATCTATAACAAAACAAAAAAACTGAAGAGATATAAAGACACTTACTGGGAAGGATCCCACGGTAAGTCAAGATCCCCTAAGAGTTGGCTGACCTGAAAAAAATAATCATTTTCAAGCAGTGGTTTGCAGAATAAACCTTCATTGATTCTTTACCAATCATTTCTATGACCTGTGACTTGGTGGGACTGAATTCTATAGGGCAAAAATCATCATGCATTTGAGAGTATGCTATCTTCCTAGTCTCTTGACTCTTCGACAACCTCGTCTGAGAAATCACATTTAATCCAATCTCGTTCAAGGTACTTACTTTTGCGAGCTTCAACTCTTCTTTCATTTCCTCTATTATAGTGGATAATCGTGCCCGTTGTGAGACAACGATATCTTTCTCTTCTTTAAGCTTAGCAATCGTCTTATCCACAATCTATCAAAAATCACGGTAATGGTATTCTCCAAAGTTCGGCTGAACCTGTTTGTTTGCTTTCAGAACTTCAATCTTCTGGCTTTCAGGTTCTTCCTCTATGCAAGCTGATTGAGTTCGGGAGATTTCTTGGAGTTTAACCATTTTTGTCTGAATATCATCAACCTATAAACGAGCAAATTGAATAAAATAAGAACAGCAGTAATCATACTGATTTGACGAGAACAGTAAACACAGCATCTGCTCTGGTTGATTCAAAATTCACAGCATCATAGAGTTTCGTACAACGTTCAACATTCGCTTCCGCTATTCGCAGCCTTTCGAGAGACAATTGACGACTCCATTCTATAATGACCGTCAAATTGAATCAGCGCTATGAATGACATACCTGGGTCTGTTTGATGGATATTAGGAACAGTATTAGGAGAAGGAGCACTTTGAACTGAAGATCGGGAAGAATTTCCATCTTTTCGTGGTACAGGAGATTCAATAGAAAACAGTGCACTTGGACGTGGAACAGGATAGGATAAGGTAACGTCTAGTTGCTCATTATAACTCTTGAAGAAAGAAAATCGTAAACAAACTACAAATATGGTTACCTTCAATGAAGCAGTCCTATGATAATTAATTAAAGATACAATCGAAGGATAAGTCAAGGAATCCAAAGAGAAACCACATTTATCATTTACGACATGAATTTTCACCAATTTCACTTGATTATTACATCTTAATTGGCTCAATTGAGGAGATGGATGTCAGTTATTGTTTACCGGATGGACAAAGTGTAATCACCTGGTGTGCTTGCATTCCTAACAATGAAAGCACCATCATTTTGAGTGGATAATGCTTGAGAAACAGTGTTCTTGTCAATGTTTCCCCAGTACCAAACCTGGTCTAGAGGAATCATCAGATGGAATTTGTACTATTCTATCCTAATATGCTATTTAAACTGAAAACTGTAGATATATTGAACTACTGAACATTTAAAAGAATTAAATTAAGCATTCCCGAACATTGCTTCAGGCACGTGCAGAAGGTTTTCAAGCTGGCGCAGCTGTGGCGCAGTTTATTTGTAAACATCATACAGTTTACCTTAAGAGTTTGATTACTATGGAATGACCTGTATGATGTTTCAAGTGAATCAGAACTTCCAAATAGGGTTGTATATCCAATATGATTCATTTCCCATTGAGAAATACTTTGTTCGTTTAATCATTAGTATGGATAAGATGATATGATGTAATTAACACGAATTAGATTAAAGGTAATCTCCAATGCTGTCCAAGAATCAGGTAATAATGCTCTGAATGTTTTTCATTCCTCGGTTTAGTGACGTTTTCTTTTGTCATCCAAGGAATCATTGTGTCCTATTCTTAGGATGAGGAGGAGCTACATAACTGATAACGTTGGGGTTCCTCTTGCGTCTTCTCATTCATGATGCGCGCTTTTCTAGCCTTTCTACTCATCTTTGTAGCTGTTAACGGTAAGATTTTCTTTGAAATCTGATTTTATAAATGATTTTATATAAATGTATCCTAAATAAAAAAGTTTTTTAGCTGCTCCTCTCAACGTCGAGGATGCCTTGAAGCAGATCCAACATCAAGTTGAAGCTTTAGAGAGATCTATTGGAACTCCACAGGAAAAAGAAAAAGAAGTAAGAGATCTATTCGAACCTTTTACCATATTCTTTGTAACTGCAGGATGCTGCCAAGCTCATCTACACTCAACCAGAAGATGTAAAAGCTTGGCAACCATCGAAACGTATGGTCGCTTGGCAGCCAATGAAGAGAACTGTCACCGATGAAAGAGCTCCACGTAAGTTAATCCCAGATATTCCTATCATATTGTTTTGACTTACTACCACACACACCTCCCCCCAGTTTAACCTTTATGAATCGTTTTGGTCCATTTCTCTTGCACATTCCGGGACCGCTTAGCTTATCATTGATTCTCTAAAAGTCTTTACTTCTTTTTATGCTTGAATACGTTATCTTTTACCCATAAATGCTCTGTTTATGACATGGCTGGCTCATTTTTATTGGAGATCAGCAAATCAGCTGGCCCCATTGATTTCTGAGTCTTCCATGGAAATTCAGAGCTTTCGTTAGTTTTATGAGTTTCGCGTCTGCCCTTGTGTGCCATCCGGCGGTCATTAATTAGTCACCTTCTCCAAACTGTCATAATCTGCATCATTTCGAACATAAGGGTTGCAACTCGAATTCCTCAACCTGCACAAAATCACATTCCGTCAGATTTCGTGACATTATTTTTCTTTTATCATGCTCTACTGCCTTTTAATTGTTGAGAACTTGACGTCAAACTGTGTCTTATCAGTATCTTCTCTTAACAATAACATTTCTTTCATGAATTTCAACATCCTGTACTTCAAAGAATTCATTTCACTCTCTCTTCTTTGCATCTGATGCACTGATATCGGAAGCAATACTATCATCCGTTACCATCTTTGAACCCCAAAATTTTAATTTGTGATTAGATTCCAATTTATTTCTGCTTTTTTAAGTAATCCATGCTATCGAAGCTCGTCTAACTGAAGTTTTGCGTGCTGGAGAACGTCTTGGAGTTTCAGCTGAGGAAGTTCTTGCGGATCTTCGCTTCAGAAACCACATTGTTAATTAAGTTTCCCAAATTGGAAAGATTTAGAAGACATTTATTCTTCTTCATCTCTTCTTCTTCTTCCTATTTTATAACTAATAAAGGGAATGTGTTCTACACCACAGTATTACATCAGTTATGGGTGAATAAACCAGCATTTTTGAACTTTTGACTCTCATGTGTGTGAAAGGTTGACGTAGTTCGCGAGCTTTGTCGAGGTGTAATGAAGAAGATTCAATACATTCTTAAATTTCAAAAGTTTTCTAATGTATATGTCTTTACGCTCTTAATCGTATTGTCTTCCTCTTCTTCCCATCTTTTGAGAGATAAACTGCTTTTTATAATATATTTGCAATAAATAATGAACACATAGCATATATGGAAGATTCATCCTGCTCCTCTTCAATATCGAACAAGAGTTGCATCTGTTGCCCCGCTAACTCGCGAAATCCGTGAATTCAATGAAATTCTGCTATCAACTCGACCACTGGCTTGAGATCTGAAAAATATCTTTTCACACCAAAAAATTAGGGAGATTGTTTGGATAAAAGATTATTTGAGCAATTATCTTTGAGCACTATTGCAGATGGTTGTCCTCTCTCACATTACATTCTTTAGTTGGCCTTAAAGCCTCGTAATTACATTTCCCTTACGCCTACATCTAGATGCACGGCTGCAGATAATGAATACCAGTTGATTAGAAAAAAACCTTCTATCTGAACAATTGACATTTGGGAAAGATGAAGGCAATGAAAGTTGCTCATTGTGCTTCGACAATTGAGATGGGTCATTGATGATCAAGATTATCGTTATACTTGACAAAATCGCTAACCTAAGTCGCTCTTCTCTTCGTTTGATTGCATTCCGCATGGGAGCTTCTTGAATCTTCGTGAAGCACTTAGTAATGCAATCATCACACATAAATTCTGATGTCCAAAAAACGGTTCCGATGAGGAGAAGCAAAAAACCGATGCACGACAGTGTAATTCCCTGAAAGATGCTGTTGACAGAAAACAAGTTCAAAAATGTTTTCAAGTGAGACAAAAGGTAATTTTCTTATGCCTAACGGCATAGATGATTAACCTTATTTGTCTCAATTTACTGAACGGAAACTAACTGGTGGTATAAACAACTGCTCGTGCGTGAAAAAAATTAGTAAACATATTCCAACTGTCATAATAATCATCCCAATGCATATTCCAATTAGAGAGATCAGCGAAGGTGTGCATCGGCATTGTGGAGCCCCGAATTTACCCATCCTAGAAATGATAAACAGTTAGTTGTCCATTGTCACCACGTGAAAACAACGCATATGTTAATTTGCATATAACACGCCTGCTCTATGCAAATCATTTTTGCTCATGGCGAACAGAGAACGGTTGTTTTCAGGAAGAGCCTCATTCTTTCAAATTTGAGTTTCCAACAAAAAAACTTTATTTCCAATTCTACTCTAATTTTTTTTGCTCTGAATGCTCTTGAATATATTTCGAAAGAAGCAGATCACAAGGTTGGGACAGCTCGTCTTCCTAATCAATGTTCTTAACCCACGATCGGGATGACCATATGGGACACTTGTTTTATCAAAATAAATCCCTCCTAATTCCATTTTAAGAAACTGATAACAATTCAAATATACGAAAATTGACTCACACAGGTGTAAACTCGTTGTCATAGTACATTCCTTCATTCCCAATCATTTCTATATCAATAGAAGTTGGTGATGCAACTTGGACATTCCTCATCTCGAAGCATTCTGAACTGATAGATCTGCTCGACATGGGGGGTTCGCAAAACGCCATGGTTCTGGAAGTAATGTAGTGTCAAATAAACGAAGGATCGATAAATCAAAACCGAAGCAGTATCTCTGTTAAGCCGAAATAGGAAGGTAGTTGGCGACTGCATAAATGGCATAGACATTGGGTCAAGTAATTACAGCTAGGTCGAACGTATCCATAGGAGATAATCCTCCGCGTTTAATCTGCCTCACTCTGTAGGTTTCTATTCGTTCTCTCATTCTATAATAAAGCATGTTCACATCTAAAGCTTTCTAATTGTATAGAGCACCAAGAGAATTATTGATGAAAGATTAGGACTAAGAACAACCTGTCCGATATGCAAAGACAAGGTATGTAGTGTTTCGAAAAACAAAGTGAAACAAAGGCATTACTGATTATTTGTTTCTTCGGATAGCTTCTTCTTCAAAATAAGTGTGAGAAGGACGAAAAAAGAGGGAAAACTGTTAGAAATGAGTTTAATAGCGTTCGTCAAAGATAACTCTCCGAGACAGTTTATGGAAAACAGATCAACAATAACATAACAACAGACAAATCCTATGTACTACTTTATGATATCTACAACAATATTTCTAACTAAGCATCTTTCTTAGCGTTTGGGCCAGGCTTAACATGTCGTCCTGGGTTGCCAGTTGATTCTTCCCAGTTCTCAATGTGATCTTCCCGATATCTGAAAAATAACTTTGTTGTGGAAGGAAATCATTGCGAACAAATACTTCACGAGTCTCGGGAAAGCCGCTCGTTCAGCATCCGTATACTGATCACTTCGCTTCACTACGGGTTGCACTGCTTCTAACTAAACGACATTCTTGAATAACCGAGAGATGTTTCATCTCTTGCCTGATTTCCAATATTGTTTTTAACGAAGTCTGGTAGATCAGTGTCAGGGAAAAGATGTAATCGCTGAATGTGTTTTCTACGTAATAAATTATTACCCAAAGCCTGAAGGTTCGAAGTTAGAAAGTACAACAAACACACAAACGTACTTTATACACACTGAGAAACATTATCCTGCATGGATCATATTCATGAATTTGCCAGGCTGGGATGTCAGCTTTTGCCCGAGGATACTCCTTAACAACTTTGGTACAACTTGAAAACGACACAAAGTACCTTATTAAAATGAAAAGCGGTATGTTTCCATCCGAATCCATGCATAGCTACGTCTTTACAATTTACAATAACTACATGATCACCACAATCAGTTTCGGGATGCCAAATCGGTTTGTGTTGGCCAGCTAAATGTTTAGCTACTTTATCACCCAATCGGAAAGCATCCTAAAGCAATTGTGTAAGACTCGGAACCATTTTTAGTTTTCGTTTATAGTGAAGCGGTCGTACACCCGCAGATTACTTTTCATCGTATCTAAAGTACTTACTTGTTGATTAGCGTCTATGATATGCCACTGTCTAGCGAATTGAAGCCATTGGTTTACCCTGTCTACTTTGGAGATAACTTTCCGGGCTGACATCTGAAAGGGCAGTTGGAATGGCATGAAAGAGACAAGTGTACAGTAAAGACAGGATACAACCTGAGACAAAAAAAAACAGAGAACGCATTCAATGTATATATATTTATACTTATATATATATATATTTAAATATGTTTTATAGGTGTTGGCAGCCAAGCTACACACGAAAGAACTTTACATCCATTATACTCTAATTTAGGAAAATTTAATCCTTGATGAGCATATTTCTACATAACTAAACGTTCAGATTAGAATTAGTAATAACAAGGTGGAGGACATGAGAACAAGTTCAAAAAATGACTAGGGAATAAAAAAATCTAAAACAATTCCTATCACAATTACCAAACAATCTTATCCTGATACTCTGGAAGAACACATAACTTCTTAACTGTTTCGTATGATAACATCACAAGACATGAGTATAAACTGTTATTTACAATTCTTGGTGCAAGACCCTTCGTGAAAATCCGATGACCCTCGTATTTCCACAATCTGGAGATGGTTTCGGCATATGTTGTTCTATGCACCTACAACGAGAACGTGTCTACGAATACTCAACAACCACAATCTTACCTGTAATCTAATACGTAGCATCTCCAGAGGATTAGTAGCTATTGCAGAAGCAATACCGGCCATTGAACCTGATACAGCTTGATCGAGGAACAAATTTCGATCGTCTACTTCAGATGCATTTTTGGGTCGCACCCCGGTCTCATATTCTGTTACCTACAGAAAATATATTTTGAACTGCATCGTGTCAATATCAACACATACCCTTTCCCGGACTTTCCGGAAGATGCTTAGAGCATGGTAATAAGTAGACCAAAAAACCATAGTAGAAGGAATGTACAGCATGATTGAAGAGAAAAAACCACTGTAAACAGAAGAACTGAATGCACTAACAGGTCATAGTAATAACAAACCGATAAAATCCTGAAACACCATCGACAATATAAATGGCTCTCACAACGCGTAGTCCCAAAGTTCTTTTTCCAGCTAATCCGTCCTTCCGGACTTCTTCTGCAACTGGAACATTCTTCTTGCTACCTAAACATTGATCGAATGAGAAACCAAAACAACATTAAAAAAAACCTCCGAATGCTTCAGGATTATTATGAACCATCATATGTTGAGCTACAATATCTGTTGGAACGAAAACCAGTTGAGCGCATGGTGAGGCTATTCCTCCTAAAAATATCAGTAGGTCTTTCACTTATAAACAGTAATGCAAACCAGCAAGAGCTGACAGTAATGAAGGATTCCTGATTCCGAGGTGAGTTTGAAGTAGATCTCGAGTTCTTTCATAAGTTGAAGAATATAAGAAGGAAGCAGATAGTTGAGGAAGTGTCATCCAGAAACCCTTAAGCCATTCATATGGTTGAGTAGGATTCAATATATACTTACGCGATACAAAGCACTCACTCCTTCAGTTCTCAGAATTTCCACGAAAGCATGTCTCATTCCTCTGAAGATGATAAGTGATAAGAAAAAGCAATATTACAATAGGTTGATACTTGTAGACATTGTTCTGACGTTGAAGTTGCAACCTGCTCTTAACAACAGACATAGGATATAATAAACATCTTATAGACCAAGAAGATGCTAGAGCAAGTGGGTAGAACTTATACAGATTCAGATGTTCCCATGTGATTACCAGTAGTTTTTGCTGTAAGAATAGCATGATTGATAGTTGAGAGAGGAAAGGGTTTACCTTCTCTGGGACTACCCCAGAAGGAACAAGTTGAGTTGAAGACATTAGCACTTGTTCTTAAACGAATTACCTCAAGCTATGTAGGTGCACACGAATAGATGCTCATTACAAAGAAAAACGACGAAGGAAATACTGAAGTTCACAACATGTAGTATCTAGATAAAGAAGCAAAGAACTTAGAAAATAAAAAATTCAACGAAAGATAAAAAGCGAACAAACGCTCTTTCAAAGATAAAATTCAAAAACTTCAAATTGTCACTTTATTCCGTTCCCCCCCCCCCCCCCTTGCCTTTCATCTATGATTCTTTGAACTTGAACTATTCCTTATAAACGTTTTCACCATTTTACTTGATCTTTGTACTCCGGCAAAACACACAATCTCTTGACAATCTCATATCCAGCCATTACTACCCCAGAGTACAATGAATTACTTATCAGTCTATAATTGATTTTTAAAAATTTTTCTGCAACACTGTCTTGTCTGTTACCTCGGTGGCAAGCCTTTCCAGAAAATGGAGGCGCCTTCATTTCTCCACATTCGTGATATCGTCTCTACGTACGTTGTTCGGTGAACTTGGCATCGAATACGCAAAAGTTCCATTGGATTTGTAGCTACTGTAGAGCATACACCACCAAGTATGGCAGCGAAAAATTGATCGCACAAAAGGCCTCGCATAGTCGGTGGATGAAGCTACGAAGGCGTTACAGAGCAGAGGAATTGAATCAAATGATTTACCACGTGAAATACGTCCTGGAACCAGTAGTATGATGGCCAAAAAACCAGACAGAACGGGACATAGACAGTGGACGAAGCGAGGAATCCCCTGGAACGATAACAATTTGTCTGGGAATTACTTTCAAAAGTTCTCACCTATAAAATCCTTGAATTCCGTCTGCCTTGTAAATAGCTCGTAGTACATCAGTTGCTAGAGATTTCCGATTTTTCTCCGTTGAGCGCAAGTTTTCGATAACAGCTTTATCGTTGCCCGAAATAAATTTATCGGCGTTATTATAAATCATCATGTATTGGGCAATAATATCAGTCGGGACGAAAATAGCCTGAAAATTGTTTTTGGTAAAACAAGAGTTTCTGGAAGTTTAACCTGTGAACAAAAACTGGCGGCGCCACCCGAAATGCAGGAAATACCGGCTACAGAAGTAACTCCCAAATCAGTTCGCAAAATAGATCGCAGTTTTTCATACACCGTTGAGTAGATGAAAGAGCATCCAATCTGTGGGACGGTAACCCAGAATCCCTATAATTATAGCCTTAAAAGGATATAGTTCAACGGAATCACAAACCCGATAAAGACCTCGGAACCCTTCAGTCTTCCAAATGTCAGTAAAAGCATGGAAAGTACCTCGATAGACGGTATGCTGTTTCTGAAGTTGAAGACGACTACGTAAAACATTCAACGGATACAACGCAGTTCGGACAGACCAGGTACTGGAATCAATATCAATTCACGTGAGCACAACAATAACAGCAACGAAACAACCTTAGTAGAGCAGATGGATAGAACAATGCTAAGTTCATGTGATGCCATTCGATCACTTTCAGTTCATTTTTCTCATATGGTTTGAATTGATTCGCTACATTAGTCTTGGGATGAAATACGTCACACGTTGTTGACATCACGTGAATCGGTAACTCTTACTCTAAAAATTCCATATTAGGAAGCACCTTGACCGCATTGCTACTAATACTCCAAAGCGAAGCAGGTTCGAATTTTAAAAACTAAGACCGACCGACTAACAGTTAGAAGAGGGAAGGAGTGAGAAGTGAACGTCAACATGACGCATGCACAAGTCCGAACTAAACGACAAACATTCACCTAACATTTAAAATTTTCTGAGAAAAAAATTAAATGTAAAGCTAGGGCTTCGTACCCTGTAGGATTCAATAGAAAGGTCCAATCAGCGAAATATTTAATGAATGGATAGAATAATAATAAATCGGAAGTTAACCATTTCACAAAAAGAGTACACGTCAAGAGTTAAATAAAAAAAAGAACTCAGATCACCATTGACTGTTAATGGACATTTAAGCATAGTAGTTCAAGCTAGCCTTCTTCTTGGCTTGAACCTCTAAGATGGCGTCCATGAAATCTTCGTGGACGATCTCTGTAGCGTCACGTCGCAATGCAATCATACCCTGAGAACAACACTTGAAGAACGTTCACGCGTTCAGACTTACCGCTTCTACACAAACAGCCTTGCACTGGGCACCATTGAAATCATCTGTACAACGAGCAAGCTCTTCGAAATTAACATCTTTGCTGTAAATAGTACGTGTGAGTAGAAGACACCAAGAATCAAGCTTCTTACTTTACGTTCATTTTACGTGAGTGGATTTGCATAATACGAGCTCTGGCATCTTCGTTTGGATGGGGAAGTTCGATTTTACGATCTAAACGTCCAGAACGCAAGAGAGCAGGATCTAATACATCGATACGGTTAGTAGCAGCAATAACCTTAAGTAGAAATATGAACGTAAGAAAAGTGAGAATATATACCTTGATCTCATCATTGGGTTGGAAACCATCTAACTGATTCAAAAGTTCCAACATAGTTCTTTGGACTTCACGATCTCCAGCCTTCTCGGAATCGAAACGTTTAGTACCTAAGCGAGAAATTATATTTCGATAAAGAGATATGAAGGTATACCAATAGCATCAAGTTCGTCAATAAATATAATGGCTGGGGCTTTTTCTTTGGCCAAAGCAAAAGCATCTCTAACCAACTTAGCACCATCTCCGATAAACATTTGAACAAGTTGTGGTCCAGCAAGTTTTAAGAAAGTGGATTTAGTTTGAGCAGCAACAGCACGGGCCATCATTGTTTTACCAGTACCTTAAATGAGACGATTATATTTTCAAAATATGCAATATACAAACCTGGAGGTCCATACATAAGAACTCCTTTTGGTGGATGGATACCAAGGTTAATAAAGCGTTCTTTGTGAGTCATTGGAAGAACGACAGCTTCAATTAACTCTTGAATCTGTTTGTCACATCCTCCAATATCTGAATACTGTTCGGTTGGACGTTCATCGACCTTAAACAAAAATAGATTAAAAGTGAAACATTTTAATCTGATTACCTCCATAGCCTTAACACGAGAGTCATATTCAGCGGGCAATTTTTCCAAGATCAAGTATGAATCCTAAAACAGCAGAAACATTTATATATACCAGAGATGACTATGACGAACCTTATTGACACCAACAAGATCACCGGGTTTCAGTTCAGATGATTCGACAAGACCAACAACAGGTAAGAAGTATGTAGCACGAGTGGAAGTCTTGATCACAGCACATTTGGTTTTGTGCGCATCCAAGTCAACATTTGCACCTTAAGAAGTATAAAAACAGTCCTATCTATACCATTTACCTTCTTCTTCCTGAGTGTCTTCTAAATCGAGTAGTTCAACAACGTTAGAAACGAGATAAGGCAATGTTTTGTTTACCTGAATACAATGATTAAACATCTATGATACAATATCACCTTAATTCTTTCTGTGTTCTCCTTAATTTTTTCCTTCAAAGTCTGCGCGGAGTGATTGATTCTTTGGACTTCACTTCTCATGATTCGGATATCATTATCGATAAGGTGAATACGACTCTTCAAGTCTTCAACAGACATGCGAAGAACTTCTTCATCCAGCTCCTGAACAATGACGGTTACGGAATGCACTTAAACTCAAAAAACCTCCTCAACGTCCATTTTTTCCGGAGTTCTAGACTCTTCGGTCTTTTTCTGTACAATAGTGGCCATCTGAATAATTAATTAATTTTTATACATGGAACTAAATAAAACATATTTAACTATATCCAAAAAACAAGATGAAGTTTTGATGATTTTTGACTGCGTACAAGGCGCAACAGAATAACCTACCGTAACCCAAGAAATGCAAAACGATAAATTACGTAGAAATCTTGGTTTCAAAAATTTTTAAGCTATTAATTGCAAAATCTTTTCTTCGTATTGTTTACTTTATGTTGAGGCTTCAGGTTAATATATGAGGCTGATAACAAGCCGAAGATGGGTTTCGGGAGCCGTTCGAGAGATGCGAGCCTGGCAAGTTGAAAAACCTGGCTCTGCTTTAACACTTGTAAACTTACCGATCCCCGTTATCAAAAAATCAACAGAAGTGTTGTTGAAAGTTAAAGTGAGTACTTACTCTATTTGCTTCACTGTGTTATGTTTTCGGCTGCTAGTGTCAATCCTCTCGACACGTACATGATAAACGGCTATGGGCAAGAACTCTTAGGACGGTTGAAGCAGTTAGAAGAATGTGACTTATCGCAAGAAAGATACCCTTTGATACCAGGACGTGATTGTGCAGCAGTTGTTGAAGCAGTTGGTGGTGGGGTTCATAATTTGACTGTTGGAGATGAGGTAGACGTCATAAACACGATAATGATAAAGAATCCCCTTGTTGATAGGTCATTGCTCTTGCTGCTCCCCATAGACAAGGTAGTCATGCTGAGTATCTGGTAACCGATGCATCTATGTGTTCTGCATGGCCAAAAAACTTGAGTGCAGTGCAAGCTGCATCTTTACCTTATGTGGCTAATACTGCTTGGAGCGCTCTTGTAACCGTCGCTCGGTTGAATCCTAAAGGAGGAAACAGTATGAATACTTCGGAGAAATATGACTATATTTTCTTTAGCGTCCAGAGTTTTAATTAATGGTGGCTCTGGAGGCGTTGGAACAGTTGCCATTCAAATGCTCAAAGCTTGGGGAGTACCTAAAATAGTTGTTACATGCTCAGAAGAGAGGTTCGTCAAAAAGTTAATATCAAAAATCTCTGTTCAGTTTCGAACTTGTGAAATCTCTCGGGGCTATTCCAGTCAGTTACAAGTCAGCTGATGTGAAAGATCAACTCACAGAGCTTGGACCTTTTGAGGTTATTTTCGACTGCGTCGATACAGATATATCTAGATGGAGTGGAAAAGTACTCGTGATGTGCACATGATTCGTTGAAATTGCCAATTTACAGTTACTGGGAGTCTGGCGTAACAGTGTTCACGTGACAATTGTCAGCCCGTTAATGAGAGAAACTGATCGACACGGGACAATTCCTGGGCTCTTTACGACAGCAGCGAACTACTTCGATAGGTCGCTCGAAGTTGGTTTTCCACTTATTCCAAGAGTTCATGCTCTGCTTACAGTATTTCACTCACGGACGGTTTTTCTCTTACGCATTTTTCTTGCCTAGTTCCGATTGTATGCGGCAAATATCCAGCTTTGCCCAAGAAAATAAGGTTTGAGAAATTGAAAGTTCAATCGAACTTATGCCGTTCCAGCTGAAACCAATTGTCGAATCAACGTACAAGTTTGAAGATTTGCCTAAGGCTTTCGAGAAAGTGGTGCAGCTACACGGTAAAGGTAAAACAGTAATTGAAGTAGCTTAAGTAGAGATGTACAGAATAAAATATATTTATTAAAAGTTCATTGTTGGCTTGATTAAGTAAGGTCTCGAAGCGCTGAATGCATTGAAAATTTGAGTATCGAGAAGGCACGGGTACGGAAGACATGTACTTACACACGTGGTACGAAAACATACATTTCTATATATGATATGATGCCAAAGATTTGAGCTAAACAGATGTCATCCTTAAAAGGAGTTATGAGAAGACAAGTTCAGGTTGCGTTCAAAAAAAATTATCTTAAGTGACCCGATACAGGAAAGCTTTTTCAGTATATTAACTCTTCTCTAGTTTGAGTTTCTTGTTTTCTTTTGGGATCAAGCCATTGCAGGTCTTCTAACTCCTTGGGAGACATGTGAGCTCTTGGTGACAGTGTGGCTCGAGGAACTGTAAGTAGAGAGAACCATTTTCAAAACAAAGAGAGGAACATACTGGTTCCGTAGATGTGTGATTGAACATCTGGGCCTGGTGGTGGCATGGCATAGTTATCGGTGTCTCCAATGCGACGCAATGATCCTGGTTCACTACGAATGGCCTGGAAAACACCAAAAAATGATTAAAAAAACAGGACTAATTACCTCATGGTGACGTTTTCCGATAGGAGTTTCGTGGTCTCCACGAATACGGTGTGCTCCAGCTGAAGATGGAGTGAGGGGAACAGCACTACCTGGTGGAGGAGGGAAAGGCAATGGACTACCTGAGTATGGAGTTGAGTAGATAGCATCAGATAAAGCTCTAGGAGGAGGCATACTATAAAGAAGTTTTTAACTGCTACTGTGGCATCTGGTAAGCATACCCTGTTGGAGTCACAACGTAGAGAGGTTCGATAGTCTTATAAGAAGGAAGAGTATTCACGTGATAGACATCCTTCTTTCTCTTGACGCAACAGCAGCAGAACCTTGCAAGAAGAACAGCAAGCAGAATTCCGAGGATGATGAGAACGATCAGAACAGCAGCAATTAAGCCAAGAAGAGGCTAAAAGTGAAGTAAATATAAAGGTCCCTCTTTAAAATTTCTATAAATCTTAAATCTCTTTTCCTTTCCCAATGGCCATCCGTATCCCCATTAGTATCACCTCAGATGTTTCTTAGAAACTAGGCAAAGCTATAACCGGTTTCTTACACGTTCATCATACACACACGCTTGTCAAATTTATCGAAACTGTGATTACTTTGAATGAGGAGTCATGGAAAAGGGAAATCCGGACATGTAGTTCCTGTAGAGACTGTTGTAATGATTTGAGTGATCGTGTAATCCCTCATGTCTCAGATGGAAAATGGAAAAAAATCGAAGGATGAGCTCATTAAGATAAACAATCGGTTGGCGTTTGCTTAAGATGTCATCCAGATGTGAAAAGTCTTATTAGGCACGAATTCTTTTTTTCGTCTTTGATCATACAAAATCGAAATGCAAGTTTTCGTGTCGAGTTTTTTATGCCGTAATCCACGAAATCGTTTTTCGCCTCATAAGTTTTCATTTTTACACAAACAGATTAACGTTTCTATTTAGAAATTTGTTAGTTAATCAATAATGTATATTTGAAAGCCTTAAAGACCAACAAAACTGAACATTTAACGAGGCCGATCTTTCTCTCTGAACACAGAATACGTCAAGGTTACGTCTTTCACAGTTTGGGACATTCGTTTACATCTAGAGGGCTCTTTTTCAAGTCAGTACGCGATGGCTGGATATCATACTTCATGTTTCAGGCAGGTAAAGAAGGTCATTTCGTCAATAGCGTTTGTGACAGAACGTCGACATTTTTTCGAAATAAGAACGTATGGCAACAATGCCACTTACATCTCTACTACCCCAAGCAGCTTTCAGAATTTGAAGAGTCAAAGGACAGTTCACTATTGCAGCAAACAAAAAAAAAAGAAATGGCTGCAGCACATCATTAAGTATTCCATGTAACACGAGTTAGCATTTGCAGTCCACGCTTTTCATTTATGATTGCACGAAGCTAGAACCGGTTGAACGCGCCACTATTTACTTCATTATTTTTTTCCAAAATTGATTAACAGTAGAAGTTAAGTATGGAATTTGGCGTTGTAAGAAAGAATACTTTCTCTTACAGTTACTAAGTCTGAGGGAAGCATTTGAAAAATAAGGAAGAAAGTAACTAACCACCCAAGTCTCTGATCGTTGAACAGGATTCTCAATAACATCTTTGTAGTTACTAAGTAAGAACTGTAAGGCTAATGCATCGTTCTCGCTTGGTCCCTGAAAATTTGAAAATCTGCTTTGCGGAAGATCACGTTTCTGATAATTCAAACTTGACATATTTGGAGGTTGATTTATTACAGTTCGCAGAAATGCGTTTGATTCTCAAAAATGAAATGCAAAACTACCTTCGCAGCTAATGTATGTAGCTTCTGCATGTCTTCGTCAGTCAAAGAAACAAAGGTTCTACCTCCTCTGTAGGTTGCTAGCTGAAAAGGAATTATCATCATGAGTATATACTTGTTGAGATGATGGTTAGTATTTGAGTCTATAAGCTTTATACTAAGAAGTTAGAAAACGAAAACGATAGGTATATTGAGCGTTTGATACAACTCCCCGCACATATCGGTATGCCTTTTCTCGTTTGGTCACACCGATTCCGACATTTTTTTCGTTTGAAATAATCTTCTGCGGTTACCCTTCATGATCATACCTCTCCTTCTCGATGAACCTGTGAACATGTTGTACTGCATTGAAGCTATGCTAAGTTTCGAATTAGTGAGTTGCAGATGAAACATCAAATGCTAGTTTGTCATCTCATTGTCTAGTTCAAAGCCAACAGTTCATAGTTTTTTTGTTTTTTTTTGTTGATGTTTCTGTTCCCCTTCATTTCATATAGACATGTTTGGATAGATGCTAATTAACGGTTAATTATGTGAGAAAGAGAGAGAGAGGAATGTCATCATCTCTTCATTGCTGTTACATTTGCTTCTTCTAGCATGTATGCAGATAGCAACGAAGACCAAAGAGGGGAATGGCAAACGGGTTTTTGTTTTCATTCATCAATTCTATGAACGGTAAATAGCATTTGTGATAGTGCATATTGTTATTACTGTCTTCAAGCATTTTCTTCAATGGTGGTTATGTACTTTAAAAACTTAATGTGTTGGTTCTTTTGTGAAAAAAGGAGAAAATTCGAAAAAAAACCTTCAAATGGCATATGAATGATGACCAAAACCGTTAAACGATCGTCAGGTTTTCGGTGGGGCAATCCATTTTCCTCTATCCCTCGGTTATGTAACTTCTCGCCTGCCAGCCGGTCTACGTAATATCCTGTTGTTAATTCTTCCCCCCCCCCCCCCCCCCCTCCCAACACTATCTGTCCTTCACATTGAACTATAATGTCACACGAAATAGAGGAAATAAAGCCGAAAAGACAAATTTCACATTGACCATCGATGTCTTTGACTGTTGACATGACGCTACATCTAGATTTGTGACAGCGACATTGTTTTAAAAGATTTTCAAAGTGCAGGATGAACCATTAAAGATTACAATGCCCAATCGGATCGTTAGTAATGTTAAAGCATTGATGTATTACCTTCTGAGTGTCTTTCATATATACAAGCACAAGACCATGATCACAGCTAGCATTGCCCAATTTCAAGTTGGCATATTCTTCACGAACATCCTCTTCCAAGTTTTCCGACTACATAAACATATATTTTGGTAATTAAGGAGAAAACTGAAAATCAAATTACGTTTTTAGAAGTTGAGACATGAAGGACTCCGATGAAACCATCACGCCCATCATCACGACGACATCCATCTATACACTCACATCTGAATAATTGGCGAATATGAAAAACAACATTACATCATGTATCTTACCCTATTTTAGTTTGCAAGCTTGTCAACATATCTGTGAGCTTCTTACGTGTTGACGCAGCGAGTCGATGGGAAGGATCACATACGAGGCTTTTGTTACCGAAGTCCTCATCCTTTTTACAGGCTTCAAACTCATCCCAATAGAGAGATGCTGTAATCTGTAACAACGGATTGTTATGACCATCTTGATTACATCCAATTTTGGAAATCGTCTTTGGGGTATAAGAGAGCTGAAGGTATCTCCATCAAATGACTCATTTTGGGTTGTCCTTGAAGTATATGTGGACTGTACAATAAAAAAGATGTTTCAAAGAACAATGAAATGTCAAAACATTCATTTATCCCCTCCAGCTGTTAGAAACATAAAAAAAAAGATTTTTTTACGTCACCTTCTCCCTCTCTCTCTCTCTTATCCTCTCTTGCTGTCATCACTCTAAACATGTTCTTCTCCACTATTTTATGAATTATATCATGTTCTAGGCACTTTCATATAAGGCAGCAAATGTTGTCAAAATAAATGAACATGTAGATTGTCAGCAGGGCAATTGTTCGAGCGGATTTCAAAAATCTAGTTTCTAGCTAAATCCGCTAATAAGCAATTACCTTTCCATTTTCAAATTACTTATAAAGCTATGACCGATGGAGACAGTTTTCATATCCTCATCTCATCAACAACGAGAATCGCAGCTCATTTGCAAGATTCAGATGAATGATCGGATCAGTTAGCCCCGTGTGCCGTCTCCTACTTTTTTGTGTCAGTTCGTAGCCAAGCTAAGCAAACAATCTCGTTTTGGGATGCAGAAGAAGAGTGAAAACTAGAAAGCAACAGATTTTGGGCTGTCATCACAGACTGATAATAACTTCTTTCGATGTTTAAGCTTGTCTCTACAGCTGAAGAGGAGGAAAAGAAGAAGAGAAGAAGTCACGCTACGAATATTTCAATAAAATTTATGAGATTCTGTCTTCGGCTAATTAGTAAGGTTTTTTCCAACATTCAATCACTCGTCTAGTAATTTATCTTCGTTCCCATTTATAGAAAGAAATGAAATGTTTGAACAGTGATGGAGAGAAGGGAAGCGGGGGGAGAGGAGAAGGAAGGTGGGGGGTGAAGTAACAAGTCGGTGTTCAGTTGAAAACACAACACTTCATCCAAATATGGACTGATAGAACTAGGAGAGAGAGAACGAAGAAGAGTTGAGTCGTTGTCGATAATTTATGTCAGCGAAGACACTTGTTCAAGTAAAACAAATCAATCGAACTGTATTTTTGGTAATTTTTTGTTTAGTTACGAACATTGTCAAGCAAATTGAGAGAAAAACTAGTAAACAGGGACATATCAAGAGATAAACTGTCTGAATGGTTTAGGAACAAGGAGATGTTGGAAGTTGTAGTTGTGCTTGTAGACGAGAGTCTTGAGCTATAGGGGTGCATTCAGCAACCTACATCTGAAGGTCAGAACTTCGTTTACTCTTTTTCGGTGAGAAGTCAGTACATGTTCCGTCAAGCAGGCATGATCTCGTCGTAAACGATCGAGAAAGTGCAGAAAGGTAGGAGCTTCCAGATTAAATTCCAAAATTGTAAACTGTCAAAGTGATGGATGTCCGACAAGCGATCGATAGTTTTTAAGACAAATTTGTTTTATAGGAGGAGTTGATGAAAGCTATAAGAAAGAGTCACAGTAAGAATTTCCCGGATGATTTCACACTGTGAGAGAATTCAGTATTTCCCTAATTGGTGTCACAAACGAAAATGTGATATAATTTATAACAATTCAAGTTACTTTTACTTCTTTTGTTTCAAACGTCACAAGTGAGGCTGACCAACAACTTTCACTCCACCAAGTCAGAAATGGAAGAAGAGAAGATGTGAGAGGAAAGTTGTTGCTTGAACAAAAAAGAAATCTCATAAGGTTGAACGCAAAAGAAGTTTCCAACAGACAGAAGGATGTTATGTCATATGTACAAGGCAACTATCTCTCCGAAGTAATTAAAATGGAATTCTGTTCAGTTCAAAGGGATGTGTCAGAAGAAAAAAAACATGACGGGGGGAGAAAAACGTGCGAGAAATGACATCTCAATAAAGAATGAATGATAAGTTCACCTGATTAATAATAAATACGCTTAGAAGTAAGAGAGTCGTAAGCCGTCGGGTCATCGCTGGCAGCTATAGGTGGGATCGGCAAAGCCACCTACACACCCTATTATGGAAAGACGGGCAAGGAAATAGAGAAAGATAGTTTTAACGTAATTGACGTGGTCGTCTGGCGATGACGACTTCTTTCTGATGATGGTGGCTGTCGTTGGAGGGTTCAGAGAGGTTGTTCAATAGCAAGATAGAGAAAGAAGTGAGAAATCATATATGGTAGGGAGAGAATAGAGAAAGAAAGGGAGGGCGGTATGGTTAGCGTAGCACCTTCGTCTCTTCAGTCTCCGCCTTCGATTTCGGTTGACAAGGACGGTTACATAACATCTAGAATATGTATCTGAATAATTTGAGAAGATAGACCATAAACCCCGGATATTAAGCTGAACATAAGAGCGAACAAACTTGGGCAACTTGCCGAACATGCAACATCACCGCACTATTTCCCGAAACCTTGAACTTTGGATGCTGAGAGTAAGCTTTAAAGAAGGGATTATCTATTGCTTAGACTTCTGGAATTTCCAGAAAAGATTATGCGAAATTTGCGGAGAGATTATTAGGGTTTGATTTGTAGCCATATTTGGGCAAAAAACGAATTGTCCCTTCTTTCTTTTATGCAGCGTGAGCAATAAAAAGGAAGTTGAACAATTAAGAAAAAGCTCCCGATAGAGATCTGATGTGGAATCTCCTGAAAGCTGTCCGACGTAGCCTCATCTGTTAAACGTCTTTGTTTTAGAAATTGACGTTTTGTTTGAGAATCTGGCTGTGTATTCCCTAGGAACACAACGGACTCCAATAGAAAAGCTCAATGTATAGAAAGCAATACAGGAGCTTCAATTCAGAGAAAAAACATTTACAAGAAATCGATTTATTTTCAGATCATATATGCGATTATTCATCGGAGGTAGAGTCAGAGTATGCATCAGTTGGGTGATGGGCAGGTGAGCATCAGTCTTTCTTAGTTTGCCACATTTGGTAAACCTGATTAGCAAGAATAAGAACACTAGAATGAACATAATAATAACATGGAAACAGTCACGTTATCAACCTAGCTGTAGCAATTAAACCGGGAGGCATGAACTTATTTGTTTTAAGGAATTTCTTGCCCATGACTAATCCAAGAGTTGCAGCAACAGCTGAATTCTAATGTGTTCCCATGAGTTACTTGGTAACTCACCTGTCACGACATATGGACGTGGAGTAATCTCAAAACAAGTAACTCCTGCAACAATTAAGGCACTTCCAAATCCAGCAACAAGAGAGGGAATTGAACCTACAGCGGACTTGTAGAATTGAGACTGAGTGATATACCTGCTTTCAAAAAGCCAATAAGTCCTCCAGTGCCGATGAGTACAGAGTAAGCCAAGTTCACTTTATCGGTGGTCTCTAGCATTTTCTGAAATGAAACGTGCTTGTTTTTTCCCAGTAAGAGACAAAGTAGTAAGAATCAAAAGAAGTAACCAAGGGGATGGGCAATAACCATAGATACAAACTGTATGGCTTCTTGAAAGCATTCTATCGGAGCAGAAAATTTTTTGAACCTCATGAGCTCCGTCATCCAGGTGAAATCCCGTTCAAACTCAAAGGTAGTTGTTCATTTTCTCACAAAACATTATTAAGTAATTCAGGAGAGAAGACAGAGTGATAAGACATCACTTGAGGGTATGTTTCATTTTGTTTTTGTTTTGCTCTGACAGATGAAATTCAAGACGACGAAACGCAATGCCCTTTCGCCATCCATTTTTGCCCAGTAAAGGGTTCAACTGAAAGAATAAAAAGACATTTGCGCGATGACAGGTTTGATATGGAAGAGACGATAAAATATTAGTTTTTTTCTTACAGAACATTACACCTGGTGCTTCTCTGTAAATCGATTTGCCACCTTCGAAATGTGAGAGACATCCTACTAATTCAAAACATGAACAACTTGGAGTTTTTGGAAAACAAAATAGCAACAGCCACTTGTGTTTTCAACAGATTCAAGTTGGCATGACCTTATTCAGACTGAAGCAAATTCCTCTTTCTCTTATAGCTCACAACATATTTTCCATGTGAGCCAAGTGGAGAAACACATCAAAAATTGTTTGAAATCACTCGAATTCAAAGAAATTATTGGGTAAGAACACAAGGCGGTGAGAAACTTCAGCTTTGTTTTGATCACAGACAGCCATTCGAATCACATCGATTTGGATACAAACTCGTGCCTATCATAGCACCATACGCAGATAAAGACAGTGAGCGACAAGAGAGAAAAGGATGGCTTAACCAGATAGTATCTCCTTTTTAGCTGAGCAAGAATATCTGTCGGTATCAATAGCACTAATCAGAGGGGACTATGACGCAATCCTCAAATGGCCATTCCAATTCCCAATCAAATTTACGATCGTAGGCGCGAATAAAATGTGTAAGGAGAGAAAAAGCTTGCTTGTACTTTATTTTTTCCAGTTGAAAAGCATGTGTCTCCGCGATTCCCTGATGATGAGCCGAGGCTTAAGAGACCTCTTCGCGAAAGAAACAGCGCGTTTGGAATCAAGGTTCAGAATGTTGAAAGCCCTCCCATTTCTTTACTGCAAATATTTTAGAATTTTCTTCTTTTAAACGAAATAGAACAGTTTACAGTCCATAACGACTTGTTCATCAAAATCACCGTCGAGATAACGTCCGAATCATGCTAACCTAACAATCTCTTGATCTGCACTAACGATCTGCTCTCTCTCTAAGTCCAATAAAAGTATTGTCCAAGCTAAGTTTAGAAGGCTTGTTTTAACACCAACTGGCAGGCGCGTAAATAAAAACTTTCACGTTTTCATGTTGTAATCTCAATCAATATTAGTTTCTGTGTACTTTTTTCGATCAAAAGGTATCCTTGTCATCAGCCAGCCCACAGTGATGTGCTTGAGATAATAAACTACTTCGTCTAGCTATTCCGACTGTTTCCATCAGAATTCTAGTCCAGAATCTGCCAAAATTTGGGAATCACCATGCCCGTGGGAACAGGAGTGCCGCAGCGGAAGATGACATACTATTGTCGCAATCCCGGAACAAAAGGTATTGTTATTCAAGCTTTCAACTTACAAATATCAAAAAAGAAAAAGTGACTTGTTGAGAAAACAAAACAAGAGCAGAAACAAAGCTTCCATACCATAATTAATCAAAATTAGCAACGGTGAAGAGACAGCAAAAACTAGTTTAAACGATTCTCTCCTCGCTTGCGTACTTCCTTAAATTTGCCTACAGTAATCAGAAAAGTTACTTGGCAATCATCCAACCGCTTCCCCATCACACTAAAATCGACTATGAATTGATGATACTATTTGTAATTAATGTAATTTCTGCTTTTGCTTTGTGATTCTTGCCTAGTCACTTAATAAATTGCCAAAATATTATAAAATAATCATGCTGTTAGGTAAACGTAATCCCTTTATCATCACCACCTTCCAATCCCAATTCATTGCAGATAGTTCTAATGAACAAGTTCGTATACCTAATGTCATTGCTCTTGTCGGCTTACCTGCTAGAGGAAAAACCTATATATCCCATAAACTTTGTCGCTATTTGAATTGGATTGGAATCAAGACTAAAGGTTAGCTTACTTATCCGCGCCTTGCGCATTATCGAAACTTATCTAAGCTTTCAATGTTGGGGAGTATCGGAGGAAAGCTTGTAACTTAGAAGAAGAAGGAGAGTATGAGTTCTTCAGTCCATATAATGCGAAGGGGCAAAAGATTCGAGAGTGAGTTTCCGCTTATCTCTTACATATCTCTACTTCTGCTTCAAAGTGAGTGTGCTCGGCTAGCTATTGAGGATTTGGGTCGGTATCTCGATAATAAGGAAGGAGAAGTAGCTGTATGTTATTACTTTTCCTCCATTAGTGCTCATTCCTTATAAAGATACTCGACGCGACAAACACAACTCGTCAACGTCGTAGGCTCTTAGTGGATTATTGTCGTCAAAAACACCATGATCCTGCTTTCCGTGTATTTTTCATTGAAAGCATCTGTGATGATCCGGAAATCATAAACTCCAATATTTCTGTAAGTTCCTTTACTCTGTTCTTACATGACTCACCCCTTCTGCAAACAGGAGGTGAAAATCAATTCTCCCGACTACAAAGGCATTATGACTGAAGAACAGGCGAAAGAAGATTTCTTAAAACGTATTGAAAACTACAAGTTACAGTACGAGCCCTTAGATGAGGAATCAGACGAAGATCATTCATTCATCAAGGTTTATCTCTTTCTTTTAGTGTCATTTTCAATATTGCATTTTAAAGGTGATCAATGCTGGTAAATCCTTCTTCGTTCACAATGTTAATGGTCATGTCCAGAGTAGAGTCGTGTATTTCCTAATGAACATTCACCTCTTACCCAGAAGCATCTATCTCACTCGGGTTTGATTCCTTTTTGTGTCTTCATTTGTTTCCTTTGTATAGCATGGCGAGAGTGAATATAACCGCATCGGAAGATTGGGTGGAGATAGTCCTTTGAGTGAGAACGGGTTGCAGTATGCTCAAAAGCTTCGAGGATACTTTGAGGTTACTCCAAACTATCTATATTCACAACCATACATCTTAAGGAAGAAGAACTGCACGATTTGAGAATATGGTCATCACAGAAAATCCGTGCTGCTCAAACTGCCTCAACCATGAGAGACTTAGCTGCACATGTTGAATATTGGAAAGTTCTGGATGAAATCGATGCTGTATGTTTCACTGAACTGTCCAAAATGAATTCTCAATTTTCAGGGAATATGTGAAGGATTAACTTATGAAGATTTTGAAGCTCGATATCCAAAACAGTTCGCTGAAAGAGACAAGGATAAGTATCACTATCGTTATCCAAGCGGTGAGGTAAGTGTTTACTTCATTTCAAGTTTTTTTGTTGTATCCTTCATAATATACATTTGTATGAGTAATTTGTTTGAAGAGTTACGAGGATCTGGTTGCCAGGTTGGAACCCGTTATCATGGAGTTAGAAAGACAGTCCAATGTTCTAGTTGTTTCTCATCAGGTATAATCATAGTTTCAATACCATAAACCGACTATCCAACTTATAGGCTGTTCTTAGATGTATTCTGGCTTACTTCACTAACAAAAACAGGGATGACTTGCCATATTTAAAAGTGCCTTTGCATACGGTCATCAAGTTGACTCCGAAAGCCTATTCTTGCGAAGTAGAAATGTTCAAGTTCGATATTGAAGCTGTTAACACGTACAGAGAGAAACCCGGAACTGTACCTGTAAGTTATTCGTTTTTCCCTCCCATTCAGCATCGCTCTGGTGAAATCCTTATATTGAGATTTCAGAAAGAAAATGATAACGTTGCTAACGGAACGACCCAAAGTGTGGATGTAAAGTGAGAGTCACTTAGCTAACTTTCGAATGCTCAATGTGTTTTTACTGCCAATATTTGTTTTTCCAAGTTTTGATTAGAGTTTATAGTATGTAATCAATATAGTCATGTATAAATCATTCAATCGAATTCCTTTTCAAGTGTTATGAATCACGTCTTGTCGTTGTTGTATTTCCTAAACATCTCTTCCTCGGCTTCACTTCCTCAATATCAGGCTCCCTCTCCTTCTTACGCAGGTTCTTGGAAGAACAATGAGCGAATGGGTTAGTCCACCCTTGTGTTCTCCTCATAACTATCTGCTTAGGTTCCAACAGTACCGGCTGTCCTTCGTGAATCAAAAGAAACTGTTTTTGAATGGCGTATCCCTGGAGAGCAAGTTGAGTTCCAAGGTCTGCCCTTTCTTCTTAACTTTCCAAGTCATGATAAACTTCAGATAACAGAATTTGTTATATCACAAACTCTTTACGTGTTCCTGGAACTGTTTTCTTGACCAACTATCGTCTGAGGTTCGAAGATGATGAAGATGAGTATGAGGGACGTCGGGTACTTTCTAACTTCCCAAGCGAATGATCATAAAGTCTTCCAGGGGTTCATATTTAATATTCCTCTTGGCTGTATTGCTAAAGTTGAGAAAGTTGGGCATTCAAAAACAGGAAATTCAGAAATGTATGGATTGCTGATAGGATGCAAGGTATTCTAACTGCTCTTCGTGATGACCATATTATTCATTAGGATATGCGGGATGTTCGTTTTGGTTGCAATCCTGATATACATAGTCGTCGACCTCTTTACGAGGCCTTGCTCCGTTTATCATTCCCTTCTAGTAAAACGGAAATTTTGGTTCCTTATCTATTTGTTATAAGTTGTTCAACCTTTATGTGTCAGAATCAGTTCTGTGGTGTGTACAAGAAGCATTTCGATCGTAATAGCTATGAAATCGATGGATGGAAACTGTATGACCCCAGGACTGAGTTTAAGCGAATGGGCATTCCCAACGATCAATGGGTCATCAGTAATATCAACTCTAACTACGATTTATCTGAAACTTATCCACTCGCAGTAAGCTCAATTATAAACTCTTCAGCTATATTATTGCATCTTAGGTCGCTGTTCCAGTAGCAGCGGAGAAAAAAGGAATTGAATTCCTCATTCGTGTTGCCGACTTTCGTAGCCGACAGAGAATCCCGGTGAGACTGTTAAATCGTATGAAAGTAAATAGCTTACGATAGGTTCTTTGTTGGCATCATCCTCAATCCCAAGCAGCAATAACTCGTTCTTCGCAACCACTATCAGGAATGACGAACAGAAAGAGCGCGGATGACGAAGAGTAGGAATAGCTTGTGCATCTAATAATATCTTGAACTCTAGCTATTTGGAAATGATCATGTCTGCGAATGCCGAATGTTATAGCCTATCGATATATGACGCCCGTCCTTTAGTCAATGCTAGAGTTTGTTCCTTTTTCGTTTCTTTTTCGATTTTGATGCTTTTACAGCTAAACAGAGCAAAAGGAGGAGGCTATGAAGAAGGGTACGATCAATGTGGTTTAAAATTCCTAAACATTCATAATATTCATGTTGTCAGAGACTCGTTAGTTTTCACTTCTTTGCGTTTCTTGTAAACACTCTGTTTCAGTTTGCGGAAATTGAGAGATGTTCTCTTTCCGAAAGTTGATGAGAGGAATTATTTCAAACTACTCGATGACTCTAAATGGTTCCACCACCTTCAAAGTATTCTGGAAGGATCCATGGAAATCGTGAGAGATGTTGAACTCAACAAGCAATCTGTCTTAATTCATTGTTCGGATGGCTGGGACAGAACTGCTCAGGTGAGAATGGAATATCTCGTTCTCATACTTCTTCTCAGCTTTCATGTCTCTCCATGATACAACTCGACCCGTATTATCGTACTATCGAAGGGTTTGCTGTGCTTATTGAGAAGGAATGGTGTAGCTTCGGACACAAATTTGCTCAACGATATGGTTTGAGTAGCAAGAAGATATTTAACTTAACTTAGTCCAGGTCATTGGGAAGATAAAGCAGGAGACGCAGAAAGATCACCGATATTCGTACAATTCATAGATTGTGTCTATCAACTGCTTGTCCAGGTAACTGTGCTTGAACAACCTATCAATATGTCTTTGTTGTAGTTCGAGCCCTTCTTTGAGTTCACTCATGAGCTTCTCATATTCATACTGGAAGAGTTGTACAGCTGCCGTTTTGGAACATTCTTGTATAACTCAGAGAAACAGAGAATTCTAGAGAATGTGAGTTAGATTCAATCTCTTTTCTTACAAGTTCTCGCAGAGATGTCCCAAAACGACGGTCTCAATATGGACATACGTGTTGATGAACCGAAAGTTGTTCTCCAACCCTGGGTATCATGGTCTTCCATGTAAGTTTCTTTTTCTTTTTTTTTCTTTTTTTGTGTGAAACTAGTCCTATCGCACTCTTTCAGTAAATGAACGTAAGGTTCTGTACGTGAACCCGTCCATAAGTATGATGAAGCTCTTCAGAGATTGGCATGCCCGGTATAACCCATTCATAGTATCTCCACAATCTGCGGTGAGTCAATTGAGTTGCTTTTTCATGCTTTATCATGCTTTATCATGCTTTATCATACTTCAGGCTATGAAACTACGAAACTATGACAGAAGTTGTGGCCAGTACACTTTGAAAGAGGAACTAATGAAAGAAATTGAATGAAGAGTATGGAATAGAACTTAGGCAACGATAGATACAAGAGGCATTCTCCAATGTCTTTTTTAGGACGTCTTGATTGTTTTACAACTGCACGAACCCATTTGCTTGTTGAAGCTGAAACTACTAGAGATCTCATTTTTAATTCACTTATACACTAATGTAAAAATAATAGTCTGAGCTTCCCTCAAGCAGAGGTCCAAAATTTATTTTTTGGCGTTTAATATAACTTTTAAACTAATTGGATAAAGATGAATAAATATATATTGACAAAGAACATTGTAATACAACACATACAAGTGATACGGAGCCAGCTTGTTTCAACAATCAACATTTAGTATGCACACGTCGCTTCTTTTTCAGATGTTTTTGTCGGCGACAGTTTTGATAGGCATTAGTTTCCCTTGTTCCAATGCTGATCATGCGATCTGATGAAACAAGCGAAACTCGAGTAAAAAAGATAAATCCCATTGTTAGTTACCAAGTCGGTTGATCAAGTAGAAAAAAATTGAGAATGTTCTATTGCTTCTATGGAGGAAGGCTCTTCCTATGAACGAACTCTATCTTCCTGGCTTTGGCTACACTATGCAAAGTTTCTTTCGACGAAGAAAACGGAAACTGGCGAAAGTGAAATAACAAATGAGGGTATGAGTGAGAGAAAAACAAGCAATCAATCGATGAGATAAACATATATCCGAGTAGAGGGAATAAGAAGAACAGAGATGAACACTACTACAGGCAACACTGAGAAGGAAAAAGTAGATGATCTTTCATACGTACATGAAGCAGGACTTCAGAAACATACACACCTAATGATAAGCATGCTAAGCATGAGAAATTCTGAAAGAAACAGAAAAAAGAGTTTCAAGATCGAACAAAAAATCCACAAACTACAGAAAGGAAACAGTACTTCTGAGCGATCAATGGTTGATCTCAGTGTCTGCAGAAGATGACAAATATGGACACATGGCACCTGTGGTTTGAATTTCCTGAGGTTTGCGGTAGAATGAGTTAACTTGTCCTCTCCACCATGCATCTAAGATAGTATTCTTCTCTTCTTCGTTCTCTTTTCTGTTATATGTCCGAGTCAACGATTCTCTCTGTAATTCTCCCGATTCCAGGAACTTCAGGTTCCTTGAGTGAGGGTATGTGGTCTCTGAGCACACAGGTGATCCATTTAGAGATTTTTTCGGAAAATTTTATTTTTTCCAGAAAACACCGAAACTTTACTTTCAAATTGATCATTCAAAGTATTCATACATCACTTTCTTACAATAACTCTTTTAATTCTTTTAATTATTCTCTCGTAACATCCCCGACTGGCGCCAGTTCCCCCCCCCCCCTCCTTAGGCTGAGATTTGAAAATGGAATTTTGGTGTTTCATGTGTGTTTAGGGATCGCAGGCAGAATGGTTGGAGCTGAGGAATCGAACAAGAAACATAAGTTTTAACTTTTCATTGTTCTGTCCCCTTTTTTTGATTTTTGAGTGCTGGCCGGCATTACCTTCCCCCCTCAATCCTTCTTTCTGTTTAGTCTAGACAAGGTGGCTGCATGGATACTGTAGACGAGTTGGTTGGATGTTCAACATGGACATGGAGGAAGTGATGAGAGCAGCAGCAGCAGCAGTAATTCATTCTAAATTATTTTTTTTTTATGTATTTACCTATGTACATCATTCTTCTATCCCCTTTTTTTCATTTATGAGTGCTGGCCGGCATTACCTTCCCCCCTTAATCCTTCTTTCTGTTTAGTCTAGACAAGGTGGCTGCATGGATACTGTAGACGAGTTGGTTGGATGTTCAACATGGACGTGGAGGATGTGGTTGGAGCAGTAGCAGTCGCAGATATTCTTCTTAATTTGTTCTTGTTCTATAACCCATGTACTAATCACCCCCCACATCCCTTTCTCTTTGTTTAGTCTCGATAAGGTGGTAACATGGAGAATATCGTGGACGAATTGGTTGGATGCTCAACATGGACATGGAGGAAGTGATGAGAGCAGCAGCAGCAGCAGTAATTCATTCTAAATTATTTTTTTTTATGTATTTACCTATGTACATCATTCTTCTATCCCCTTTTTTTCATTTATGAGTGCTGGCCGGCATTACCTTCCCCCCTTAATCCTTCTTTCTGTTTAGTCTAGACAAGGTGGCTGCATGGATACTGTAGACGAGTTGGTTGGATGTTCAACATGGACGTGGAGGATGTGGTTGGAGCAGTAGCAGTCGCAGATATTCTTCTTATTTTGTTCTTGTTCTAAAACCCATGTACTAATCACCCCCCACATCCCTTTCTCTTTGTTTAGTCTCGATAAGGTGGTAACATGGAGAATATCGNGGTAACATGGAGAATATCGTGGACGAATTGGTTGGATGCTCAACATGGACATGGAGGAAGTGATGAGAGCAGCAGCAGCAGCAGTAATTCATTCTAAATTATTTTTTTTTATGTATTTACCTATGTACATCATTCTTCTATCCCCTTTTTTCATTTATGAGTGCTGGCCGGCATTACCTTCCCCCCTTAATCCTTCTTTCTGT